GTCCCTTACTGAATCATTCATTAATGTCATCAGGATATTTATTTAAACACACTCAGAAATGTGAGCTCCAGTATGCAAAGAGTTACTAGACAACACTGGTTAACCATGAGGCGGTATGTGATTGTTTCTACTAAGAATACATATATAAAGAGAAATAATTTGTGCTCAACATTGTTATGTGTGGGTGTCAGTGCTAGAACCGAACCTCTTCAACATCTGGGCCACATTATTGACAAGTATGAAATCTTCAAAATATTTCAAGAACTTCACACCACAATCCTCAACAGGAAGCGACAAACACCTCCGGCCAAGGACCACAATTCATCTGAGTTGCAGATTCTTTGACGCTCCCGCCCTGAAGACCGAGTTATTTAATTTAATATTTGGGATATTCTGACAAAGTTTGATGGATCCTTTTTGGAAGAGGGTAGAGTTCTGCAGATACAGTTTTCACTGCAGACTCGGATGTCTGTAAGGTCTATTGAATAGAAAAATGGAAAAGTACTGAAAAAAGAACATGGGTGTTACTTAGAATAATGTCACAAAAACATCTCCGACGCTGTATTTCTTTAACTGGGCATCATTACACGCCTTTCTTCTTCTGCTCTTTACTTTCTTTATGTGGATAATGTTTGGCCCCACCTTTTCAATCTATTGGTTTATGCAAAGATTTCACTGTTTTAGGTGCATATGCCATGGTTCTGGTATTCAGAAAGCTTTTTGTTGCAATCAGTTTAGCATAATTTTTGAAATCAGCTAACTTCAAATTATCTGATTTAGTCAAAGCATGCCTACGGAAGCTGTGATTGGAGTTAAGGGGCATTTAACAAGCAATGGGAATCAAATATTCAAATGGGTTTAATCAAAATAATAAAAAAAAAAATAAAATGGAATTGTCATTTTTTCACCATATAACGCAATAATGCTGCTGTGATTACAGTTATGTTGCAAGTTTTCATGTGTCATCGAGGGAAAGTAGGAAACGGAAACACCCAACGTGTCAGGAACAAAGGCAGCTTTGAGCGCCAGGTGTTCACAGGAGGGCAGGTGTGGTCTAATCCACAGACGCTGAGTGGTGGCGTAATGCAGATCACACCCACTTCTCCTTCCTGACTGATCTATCTGAGCTGGTGGAAGTTTGGAAGAGTCTATCCGTTTAGTTTGTGACGGTGAACATTTCGTAAGGTGTACATGAGTCTCTTGTTCAGGCCCGTGTCACGTCCTGAAGAACATTATCTTAAGGATTTGGTTATTTTCATTGACCAGAGATTGACTCAATCATTTAACAAGTCAGGGCGGGTTACCATGCAGCTCGATGACGAGGCAGAGCTTTAGTAAACCAGTACAAGGTGTGTGGGTCAAGCTTCACTCATCTTGCATTCCTTCCCATTTCTTCTCAACACTACTACATATTATCTCTAAATATGTAATAAAGTACTGATTACTAAGCCTGGACGAGGCTTGGCAAGTTTGTTTGTCCAACATAATTCATTTACAGGGTACTTAAATGAAGGTAACCATAGAAACAGACAGACATGACAGAAGTGAAATGATAAAGTATTCTTGAGCCTTTATGGAAAGTAACAACAACCAATAATATCTTCAACAGTTTCTGCACATCTCAGGCTTTAATGTGGATCATTCCAGAGTGAGGAGCAAAGAAAGATTATTCAAATCCTTGAACTAAATTCATTTTTATGCCCAGTCTCATGATGCTACTCTCAGCTAAAAGAAAATCTCGTTTGTTGTATTTTGTGCAGTTCTAAGTTTTTTTTCCACATCTCCACTCCAACAGATTCTGATCGCATATTCATGAAAAACCTGCAAATGCTAAGGAGTGCAAAGATAATACACTGAACAAAAATATAAACGCTTTTATGAACATTTGGGTTATGCAATATATAGAGAAACACAAAATATATTTTCAGTAATTACAGCATTGATAACATTGCGGTCATGGCCATTACAGCGGATTGACAAGTTGGTTTCTCGTAGGCGGTTACGGACAGTCTGAAGTGTGATCCGTCTGTTGTGCAGACCAATAGACTCATCAGCTGTGTGCGTCGCTGGTCTTAGCCGATCCCGCAGATGGACAAGCCGGACGTGGCGATCTTGTGCTGGAGTGGTCACACGTGGCCGACGAGGACGGAGTCGATTTGCAGTGATGCCAGTCTGTTGGAAACGAACTCTTAAACAGCCAATGGTCCTATAACAGACCCTGAGCCGTGCAGCTACTGCTCTGGTGGACATCCCTGCATCCAACATGCCAATGGCTCGCTCCCACATAACTTGTGACATGACTTGTGACAAAATTTGACATTTTGGGGTGGCCTTTTATTGTCCCCAGTCCCAGGATTGTTGCTCATTTTGTCTGATCACCCACTGGACATGCCCCACCCATGCAGTGAGAAGAAAAACAACCCACTGAGTAAAGCTCACTGACAGCAAGTTGGATTAAAAATTATACACAAATCAAGAGAAATATTACTTTTGTACAATAAAACATCAGAAAATGCTCATTTACAGTTATTAACTCCACATGGCAACAATATTTAAGGTGAGATGTTTATACTTTTGTTCCATATAGTTATTCAGTCAAAATATTTTTCCAAACAGATAACCCACGGATCTCTGCAACTCCTCCAGATTAACCACAGGCCTCTTGACTTCTCTTATTAATTATTAAAGGCAGTCTTGTTTTGGTGCGGCTGCACTTGTGCCATGCTCTGCATTTTCAGATGATGGACTGGATGATTCTGCGTCTTCCTCCTTGTCCTGTCTGCTGTGTTCATGAATTTTCTCCAACAATCCTCTGACAACATCAATTTTCCTCCCACTTAACCACTATGGCGCTGCTTTGTGTTGGTCTGTCCCGATAAAACACATTAAAAGTCTGCGCTCGCACTGCAATGAAATGTGAAAAAGTTCGAGAGGCGTAAACACTGCGATTGACTATTGTAATGAGCAACTATTTTTGACATCTGCTGGTAAAAATAGCAGATGCTGTTTACAGGTATGTAAACGACAGTTTCTGCTGCCTTTTAGGACATTCAGTTTCACCAATGAATGCCAAATTTCAGTTTCACACTTGACAACAATGTTGTTATGAATACATCAAATAGTTACGATCTGCAACTTTTTTTTATTTTTATTTTTTATCTGTACTGTCATTTGATGTTGTGTCAGTCAGATTGTTGCCTTGAGTAGAAAAGCTTGAAGATGCAGATGAAAGGAGTGCAAAGGTTTATCTCTGAAGAGCCACTAAAATGATCTACAAAACCACTTGGAGCCATTACTAATGCTTTTATTGCCCTTTTAAAGTCGTATTCGGTGCTGCAGGGACGTAACTCGAACATTCACAAGTTGGTGCTTGAATAGCAGAGAAAAGATTTAAGGCTCTTTAAACGGAGCCAGATGATGCTCGTTTCAGAGTGCAGTTCAATAGACAGGCAATATTTTTGGTTTATTTGTATTTAGGATCAAGCTAGAGTGACCTTTATTATTGTATTTTGGTAAATAATCACTGGGAGCACGCAAATGATTTTCTCATTTCATTTTTTTTGTTTGTTTTATTGGTTTTCTCAAATGATTGAATTGGGGTGACATAAAATAAAAAAAAATAAACCAAATCAGTAATTGCAAACATTTAGCCAACTTCACCCAGGACCAGGGACAAAATGGATAGTTAATACCTAAATCTACAGTGAGTTAAGGACACGGTGCAGCGGTTTAATAAAAGATGTGGCAAACCAAAAGAAAACTTTGAGTAATTAAAAACTCAGCTGACATGCAGGCTGTCACGATGTGATTACGTCTCTCACCAGGACGCCTCGTCCCACCACAGGTATGTTTGAGCTTTCACACATAATATTCAGCATCAACCACCAAACTTTTCTCATGGTGGAGTTCAGGTTAGGATACGCTAGTGGAACACAGTGCTGTTCGACAATGAATTAATTAAAAACACGCAGGAAATGGCACATACACTGATGCATTCGCTTCCAACTGTATATCTGACATTTATCCCTGTGAGCGCCAGCGTTGATGGCAAAAAATGTATTAAAATGATACAAGTTATCTAATATTCTGTTTCAGGTTGTGACGGAAGAAAATCAAATGTAATGCAAACTGGAATAATGTATTATGGTTTAAAGTAACAATTTAAATAAAATGTCTTCTTCCCCAAGTGTCACAAGTTAAAATTACTTTAATATTGCACTTAAATGACCTCATGCCTTTGCGTAGCAAACTATTCCTGAGCCTCCAACTCGGGGCCACATTTACTTTAACCTCCTACAAGCCAAAAACCACAGCTCTCGTGTACTGGGATTTAATTTAATTTGTGGTTCATTCAATTGGATTAATGACCCGTCATGTCAATTGACTGATGAATAGTAAAATAACCGGTTGGACATGGCCCCGTTAGGCAAGGCAACAAAAAGCACCGGCATGTTTCGAACACTCGTGGCTCTATCTTCCCGGGAGGCTTCCTGCTTTTTGCGGCTCGCCCCGGGGCCACAAGATGGAGTCATGACGAGAAATATTTGACACATAACCAAAGTTCAGCCACAGTTCCTACATGCAATTTCTGTTTACTGTTGAAAAATGTTGTACTGTGTAACCCTTTCACGTTGCCATGAATCAGTTCTCCAAGAATTAAAAAAATAATAATAATAATCATATCTGCAAAGACACAGGAAGGAAAAGAGTTGCTCAACAAACCCTTAAAAAAACGTGATTTGACAAACTTCAGAGCAGAAGCAACAGTATCTGAGGATGATAGCGAAGTTAAGTTTCTAATCTAAACAGCTGGAATGCTAATCATCATGAACGTTGATGTAGATGATAGGGTTGGTTTTCGATGTGAGCGCTGTGACTCATCGTCCCAGATTGCATTATGTCACAAGGTGGAGGTGGCTGTTGCTAAGCCTCTTCGTTCTGTTTGCAAAATTACACCAAATAGTTCATTGTCTATGTTATTTTCCCCCTTTTTCATGAAGGCGATCTTAAATGGAGACAATGAGATTAAATGATTGAGACTCAAAATCTCTCCTGGTCTTTTTCTACTCTCTTTTAATTCTTTTAAATCTAATATTGTGAATTATCAGGGAAAGACGAAGGTGCTCTGCTCACTAAGAGACACTCATGCAAAAAATCACCACTGTTGTTGGAGCTACAGCCCCAAACATTACACTTCTGTTCACTATCAACACAATTAACGCTGCTTTAACAGAACCCATCAGCTAACTGATGCTAAACCAAAGTAGCGCTGGCAACAACTGAGCTACTTCGCAAAGTTTTCAAATGGAAACAAAGGGAATTGACAGACATCTACGGTAGGTGGAGTTAACTATAAGGATTTGTACTTTTGTGACTACAGTACATTTCTGTGTGCTGCAACAGCCTAAATAAGATTAAATAGACTCCATAATAATACATAGCTTAAGGCAAATTACACTCTTGATTGCTGCTCCGCTTAGCAAAGGTTTGACTCTCAGCTGGACAAAAAGCTGGAACATGAACATGAGTTGAGCTTTAACTGAATCTCATGTTTGAACTTCTATATATTTAAAGTAACTTTAAAGTACCGGAAGGCAGAAGAAAAGAGTTTTCTTTAAAATATTCCCTTAGCAGACATGGCAACCTATTTGTCAGCGTGGAATATAACCGGGTCACATTAACCTGTCGTATCAGTGAAATGTTTGCTTAAGCTAGTCATGTCTGCAAGAGTTAAGCAGGCGGCTGACAGCATGCTCATCCCCAGGAATGTCGATGTCACCGGGTCAAGAAGGAGATTAAACAGCTGGAAAAAAGAAGAAGCAGTTTTCACTTGGATTGGAGGTGAGGGAGAGCGAGGGGGTGGGGGGGCTTCTATTCTGGAGAAGTGTTAGGTTAACTCACATGCTGGGAGGAATGCCTAGCCTCTTTGCTAAAAGGCGTCCGGCACCGTATGGCATCGGACCTCGATGCGAAACTCCCTGCTGCAGCAAAGAGTAGGAACAAATGAGAGGTAGAGACTGGAGCAAACCCACAGTCAGGGCTTTTCAGCCGATGCCAGGCACAAAACAGTTATGGCCTTTCATACGTTTTCCTGCCCACTGATCCTCCCAGCAGTGTATTCAAACCGTAAAAATACACTTTTCATTCAGCGCTTTGTCTTCCACGGTCAGTTCTCTTTATTATTGCCAGTCGTCGTTGTTGGCATCACAGGGCGTCAGAGAGAGACAGGAGGTTAACCGGTAGAGCTGGTTTAAAGAAACACGCCCTCCATGAGACTACACTTAACTGCAGCAAACACCTACTGAGACAGCAGCTTTGCGCAATGCAAATTATAGTGCAGCAGAGTGACACTAAAACTTCAATCACCTGAGCTGATGTTTACCTGGGCACAGCATAAACTGCTTGTGTGTTTTCTTTTCCTTTTTTTTTTTTTCTTTAAAAAGCGCATCTGCTTAAATCTCTTCCAAGCCTCAAAAAAACCCGGAGTGGTATTAACTACTCCGTATAAGTACAGAATCAAACCCCTCTGTGAGGCCCGGTGAGGCAAACTTTCCCTCACAGAAATGCCACTGACTGTAAACACGTGGTATGACTGTTTTTCCTAATTTTCCGAGAATAGCCTAAACGTTGACATAATGGCATTCACTGTAGCAGTTGCATAAAACAAGTTTCATGTTCTCCCAGTATGTTTCCGTAGTTTTTTGCATGATGAGAACAGAATAAACAGAGCATTGACATCTTGGATGTTTTACCTCAACACCTAACAGAGAAATTCTCTCCCCTCCACGGCATCAACAGCGCCCCCCAGCTGATAGTTGGCGTAAAACACAGCAGAGGCTGACCCTTGCAGGAGATAGAAATCCACATTTGCAGGACTGGAGCCACAGTTGAACCACATTCAAACCCTCAAAGAGGCAGATGTTGCTTCCGGTGACATCTTTTTCCCTGTTGGAAACTGATGACCTGCTAAGTATAGCAGCATGTATAGTCAGCACAGTTTCTGGGGATTCTTTTTTTGTAGCTTTTAGTTGATCAATGTGTCACTTTTACAATAAAGTCTTTAAGATAAACCAACGTAATGAACTGACAATGTTTTGGCACTGCAAGTCCTGCTAAATGACCAAGAAACCAATGTAAGGTGACCACAATCAGGGATTTGAACTGGGATGGTGTGCAGCAGGAAATCCCCAACACACAATGTTACACATTCAGTGTGCATGATAATTATCCGTACTGTTTACTGAGCGGTGGGGTTTGTAGTCTGGATCTATTTCCAGAACAAGCTCAGCTGAATGTTTCCGACATCACAACACTGCCATCTGGAGGCCAGTAGCTGAAATGTCCGTCGGTTTGAACCCGCTTAGACATCATTTCACTTTATTCTAAGCTCACTAAATCACCACAAACACAAGTAAAGCGGAAAAGTATTAATTTGAGCAAGAGCATTTTGTCAATGAGGAGAAATTATTCAATTTAATACGCAAACGTTCCAGTTTATGTGAGATTTGTTTGCATACGTCACGACGTACTGACAATAAGAGACAGATAATCTGTGAAAAAAAAAAAAAAAACTCCTCCTCCCAGTGAAAAAGCAAGCAGGGTCAGGAGTATGGTCTTAGTGCTGTCAATCATGTTCATGTACATGCTGCTTAATATGCAAACGGCTGGGAAAAAGCTTACCGTTCCAGAAAAACCATCTATTCGCCGTCATTGGGGACCATGCTAACTAGCCTGAGCATTTGTGATAGGGGAGAAGTTGTAGCATAGCACAGAGCGGCTGGTACACAAGGGTGATTGATTGCGCCAAGACCCTCCCCCTGACTCTGATTGGTTGTTTCTGATGGAGCGGCGCATTTGTTCAGATAAAGAAGGCAAAGGAGTTTGATTTTTGATCGTCTCTATGACTGTCACAAGATAGTCATAGTTTAACAAATACGTAAAATAAATTTTTTTGTAAAAGTTACTATCGCTTTAACTTTACGATGGAGAGTGATAATCTGAACTATTACCACACATGCATTAAAGGATTTTGCCGTGAATTTAAATCATTGTGCAGCTTTAAGTGCTTGACATCAAAGTCGTTAGTGTGTACTGCCGGGGGGTTCAACATCTCTGACAGACAAAAAACATCTTGGCTGAATCATTTCCTGGATAAACATGTCATGTGCTTTCTTCCCACTGACCTTTTTTTCCCCTCAAACAAATACTATCAGGTCCTGAAACTCCTCATTCCAGCGACGGGAAATGTTCTGGAGAACACTGACCTTTTCTCTTGACTCTCCAAAAGATACAATAAATCAGTTTTACACAAGCCGACCGTTATCTGAAGAATCCTGCTACTAAATTAGTCGGTTGCAGATTGTTAGAAACGTTCAGTACCAGATACTTTTTATGTGTACGTTATAGATGGGATGGAAAGGAACTTCTCTGTTACTTCCCACAGATGGTAGGTTGACCTGGGAAGTTGCAGGGCTTGCCAACGTGTCAAAGTCATTGTTGGTCTCCTTGAACCATCTTTGTATCGGTACAGGACACATTGTTTCATGGAAAAGCTCCCTCCCTGTAGTGGATACTGTTTCTATGCTGGGGTATATTTGGCTTTGCAACCATAACAATGTTTAAACATGAAAACATCCTGGCTTCTTCCAATGGTGTACATTGTGAAAAGGCTGTTCCATATTAAGCAACAAAAGAGTCCAAAGAGTAATTCAAATGAATTCCACATCTTATACCCTGAAAAGTTAAAAAACACAAATTGAACGATTTTTTTTGTCTTTTTTCCTAACTGCAGTGGCGCTTTGCTTTTTTTTTTTTCCCCCCCAAATAGAGCAATACATGAACTAATCTTTGCTCCTCAGATGCTTCCAGCTCAGTTTTCAGTCCTTGGATAACATGAGAAGTTCTGCATACCACGCATTCGGAAGAACCCACAAAACGTCCCAAATCCTTTCGCTCATGGCGGATGACGATGCCAAACAGTTTCGCTGACAGATGCTAAATCCAGTCCAGATTTCTTCACAGTGCTTCTGCAAAGCGGTGACTTCAGGATGAGTTTGGTAGATGATGCTGGAAACCTCACAGACAGAATTGATCCATGCATGCCTAAGACAGAGTCTGATAACTCATATTCATGATATAACCTTAGAAATAACATTTACTGCATGGTTTAAGTTAAAGAAAGCAGAAATTATGTGTCTAAGTTTTATGTTACACCTCTGTGAAAAAGCATTTATCTCCTTTTTTTTGACTCACTTGCATGTTTCCAATCAAACAAATGTTAATATAAGCCAATAATAGTATTTTCAGACAATTTCCTGCTCCATGCTTTGTTGGAACAGCCAGGGGACTCCTAGAGTGTTTACCAGTGAACACAGCAAGACTTATAAAGGCATGAATGAGTGTTTGAAGTGCAGTTCAATTCATTTATGTTCAAAGTTCACCACCTAAACAGACTGAACTAAATACTAAATTCACATCTCCAACAGTAAAACTACTTGCAAATGATCGACACACACTTGGCAGTCAGTAAGTGCACACCCTGACAGAAAATGCCACCACTGTGTCTGCATGATATATCCAAATCTTTTGCAAGTTCGGGAGAGTTTATGTTCATAACGTAACTTATGTTCAAAATTCTCAAAATATGCGAGCTACCCCCGTGAATATTTCAACGCTTTTATGCATAATGCTGCCAACGTATCCCCTTTGGCATTAATCAGAGCAGAGACCCAGAAGGCAAGTTTCCCCGTCCAACATCAGTGTCTGACCTTACAAATGCATTTGTGGAACAATCAAAAGGATTAAAGATATTATAGCTGCAAAGGGGGAGCCAAAGTTCCATGTTACATTAAAATGAGTCACTTCTAAAAGTTGAACAACTTCTTTAAATAATTTCTTAATGGTTTAGATCAGAACTTTAGTCACAGAAGACGCAGAAGTGCAATCAGCTTTACCAGTTTAATTTTATAGGGGAACCACAGGTACTTTAAAAGAAGGTGATACAGCGCTGTACATCTGGGAGCCGCACTGACTGCCTTGATAGTCACCTCCTCCCTTTAAATACTAATTATTTAAATGTTCTATAATCTGATATTGATACAGAGATACAATAAAAGCTTGTGTAACTGGTCCTGCAGCTTTACTGATATGTCAATGTTGGGACTGTTTCCTTATATTTTGTTATTGTTTTTTTTTGTTTGTTTGTTTGGTTTTTTTTTTTTTCCAAAAAAGGAAAATAAAAAGTTAGGAGGCAGAAACTGCCAATCGTGGAATCCTGTATTTCTCCCAATTCACTCACACAATAGAGAGAAAGAGAGACAGAAAGGGAGAAAGAGGGAAACAAAAAAGAAAGAGATACAATTGTCGTGTTCTGAAGGCTGGTCCGTGATGGAAAGGGGCATCAGTTCATAGCGAGGTCCAGAGAAGCACAAATAATCATTTGCGCTTTCTGGGACTTTTGCCCCCCCCCCCCCCCCCGGCCCCCCCCCCCCGACCCGCTCCAAGGCTCACTTCCATAGCTGCGTGCTCAGAGTCTGACCGGATCCGGCGGCGGCGGCCCAACCGCCCATGGCTGAAGGAGGCTGACCGAAGGCCATCTGGCCCCCGGCGCCGTTCAGAGTCATCCCTGACATCTGCTGGTTCACCTGGGGAAGACACGGAGGGCGGTCAGGAGGAACATCGGACAGAACCGGCACCAGGCCAGCTGTGTCCAGATTCAGCAACATGTTTAATTCAGACTCAGACAAGTTTACCGTGACCCCCGTTAAAAGATGTGTGAAAAAGAAACTTTCAAATGAGTTCATCCCACGCTTGTTGGAAAAATCTAACCTTTAGTTTGAGTTTTTTATTTGGAGGGTAAAATTCACATGATAAAATAACTGCTGGTGAAAATTATTGGTTATGCTGACAGAGGGATGTTTAACATTTTCCCTTTGTGCTGGAATGTGCAGAAACGTTGGTCCTGCATGTTTGTGGCTTATTATTCTGCCAAACATCTCAACATCTTCAGTTTTCTGGGACAATCACACACACACACACATATATATATATATATATATATATATATATATGTTTCCTTTTTGTACATAAGATGTGTAGTTTGTTCAGATTACATTTAGTTTAAAGGGAATGAGATGGAAGGTTTCTAAAATGTCAGCATATCTAATTTAAGAAATTAAAGAACATTCAATTGCTCAACATACCAAAATTATTTAAATTTAATACCCCCATTAAGTCTAAAACATATTGTAATAATTTGTTTCCCCTTACAGATTAAGCAAATTAATTTCAATTTTGTCAACTTAAAATTTAAACCTGGTCTAGCAAACTACAACTTCCTTAAGTGCACAGATTCTTAGCCAACTATTAAAATATCTGAATATTTAGAAAGGTTAGGCTTGAAAGCCCTTTTCCCATGATGAGGTAGCAAAAAAAACAAAAGTAGTAAAAAAAAAAAAACCAAAGACAAACAAAAAGAAACAGGCTGGGCAATGAGTCAAGAAATGCTTTTTCACACATCATTTACTAGGTTTACCAGGGTGTCCACATTTCATTGTTTCCCAACTTCACTAAAAATGCGGCAGTGATTCAGAGTTCCTTTTTAATCAGAATACATGCTAATCATCTCCAAAGTGTGATGAAAAGTTTTCTTTACACTTCTTTTGTGCATTTCCATGTGCAGCAGTTTGCCTAAATAATAATAAACACTTTTATTGTACTCTGGATGTTTTACCTTAAAGTTTCAGTATTCCAAATAGTTTGAAAAATAAAAATTACAGAAAAAAATACTAATTCTGAAGTTGTAGAAGTGCTGCCACCTAGTGGTTACTGAGTGGCAGTGTGGCCATATGATATGAGGCGAGTTCCACCTGTCATTAGCTAATTTGTAATGTTGGTACGCAATTTTCCTTAAGGTATGAGCATGATTATCTTTGATTTTCTTGGTAAAGGTACTAATACTAATGCTGGAAGAAAACAAATGTCCTCTACCTGCATTAACTATCATATTCCCAAATGTAAATTTTCATCATCTTCACTGTTTTTTACGGCTTTAGTTAAGGAAATTGAACTACATTTGTCCAAATGTTCCATCAAATGTTTCTAATTTGTCATGTCTGTAATATCTTCTACTTTTTTGTTTCTGTACTTGTATATTTACTGTAAAGGCCTACACCTCTGGCATACTTTTCTCATATTCTCTGTTCTATTCATTTGCTTTTCTTTGTATTTGTAAACACAGATGTTTTCTCAATAAAAAAAAAAAGAAAAGAAAAAAAAAGTTACGGTGGCTGTACCTGACCCATGTTCCAAGGAGCCTGCTGTCCCGGCTGGATGGCGTACATCCCCTGAGCGGGCATCATGCCTGCAGGCATCGGCGCACCCTGGGGTCCCATCATCCTGGGGGCCATGCCCATCATTCCGGTGGCGGGCGCGTTTCCCATGAAGCCGTTCGGCATCGTCATGCCCACCATCATGGCGGGATTGGGCCCCATCATGGCCGCCCCACTCTGGGCCATCATCGCACCCATGACGGTGGTGGGCGGCACAGCAGCTCCCATGCCTGGAAAGGCCTGATAACCCGGGGTGGCCTGAACAGGAAACTGCATCTGAGAGGGGCCCATGAACATCCCGGCTGACGAGGGGGAAAGAAAAAAAAGAAGAGAACAAGACGGATGAGGAAGTTTAACATTGAAAAAAAAAAACCTTCAGACTTTCATTCAAAAGAAAAAGTTTAAAAGTTCACAACAGGTTTGCAAGTCATCGATTAAAAAGTTAATATAAAGTTGACTGATCTTATGATTGCAGAATGACTAATTAATAAGAGGCCATTTTCTTAAAACCACATCCTCAACTTTGTAGCTCATAAGTTTTTGGTTGAGAAGTTAACGCTGCTCCATCCTGCACTACTGAAGTAAAACTTAAGGAGTTTCACTTCATTCTGTTTAAATTTCAAATCAAAATGGCATAAAGTGCAATTTGCATTCCACAACAGACTCTGATCGAACTGTTTCTCTTTCCCGTTCTGCTCCGCCATATTTGTTTCTGTATGAACTGGCTTCGCTTAAGGATGACCAGTGGCGCCCTCTTCTGGATGGAGGTGAAGCACTGAAAGAAGGCCTAAGAGGATGTTATTCGTTAATCGACTGGAACTAATGTTAATCAGCTTACGACTAATTGTTACTTAATAATTCATTAGATTAACTGTTTGCATCCTTAGTTCACACTGAGCAAATAAACATCCATCTGACCTGCATTTGTCAGATATAATAGCTGAAACTGAATTACCAATTTAACCATCTTCGCCATCACCAGTGCATGTCCCCATATGTCCTGACTACTATTGCTGGGGTAATTTCAGTCATAAAAAAAACAACATGTTTATTTTGGCCTGTTGGTTCTCACCAGCAGGGACTTGCTGGGACATGCTGTTTGTTCCATACAGCGACAGAATCGAGTCCTTGGACAGCGGCTTCTTGGTCCCGTCCTCGGCTTTAGCGGCGCTACTGCTGTCGCTGAACAGGTCCAGGTCGGCCTGCCCTGACCCTGAGCTGGCTCCGCCCCCCACGCAGCCCGCAGCCGGAGCTTGTGTCGGAGTGCTGGCCGTGGTACCGGAGCTCCCCTGGAAGGACGACAGAAAGCTGATATTAAAAAAACAAAAACCCCTATAAATGTATTTTGTTCTCATCGATAAAAAATAAGTGTTACTTCTACAGAGTTCACTTAAAGCATGCAAAGCACTGAAACAAACAAAAACAAAATATTTTCTGTTAAAAAAGCGCCACTCGAAACCAAATATTAATGACATTTGAGCCATAAAATGTCATATATATATATATATATATATATTTTTTTTTTAATCAGATCTTCTTTTGGCCAGACTATAATTTAGAAGAACTGAGCCATATCCTTCATCCGGCTTTATTCGTTCCAAAACCAGATGAGCATTTGGGATTGATGAATAGTGTTTATTAGTAACTACTGTTTAACTGAGTTGGAATCAATGCAAAAAAAAATAATAAAGTGGTAAACATCCAATCAGAATCATCCCTGAAACTTATTACTTAATACTAATACATGACTGAGTATAACTTGTTATGGGGACAATTATGTGTATATTTGAGTACACTAAATTAAACTAAATCTACAGTTATTTGAAACATCATATGTTCTTTCAAAAACTTCATAGAAGTTGTGTGTGGTATCATCAGTGATGTTAAATGTTCTCTGATTGGACGTACGTGTCTTTTCACTAACAGGCTAAATTATCTCACGCATGAGATAATGGATGAGATCATTTTCTGCATGCAGAAAATATGGTCCCATAACATCTGCATCAAATAGATTACAAGATAATAAGTGGAAGAGTTAATGGCATCTTTTAATTGAATTGTTTATCCGAACCTTAAGCTATATGTGGACTTCTAATAAGAAAATCCACCATTAAAGTCTTCATCGACTGTTTAATGAAGAGTAAAATTTTGCTCTTTTATTTTTTTTTCAACCAATATCAACAGTTACCACTTTTTCTCCAGCACATTTATTTTCAGTTTGACCAGCAGGAAACCACCGCTGCTGCTGCTGCTGCTGAGTCACGACTGGATCGGGCGTTTTTACCTGAGAAAACTGAGCTGCAGATGTGGATGACGGCAGAGGGTTGGACACCATGGGGCCAAATATATCCAGGTCATTGTTCTGGTTTGTGCTTGTGCTACCATTGTTAGCTGATGCTGCAGCGGCGGGCGTGTCTGTGGCAGAACGGAAAGCAAACTGGTTTTACAGGAGGAATACAGCCTCGACAGAGGGAGCAGCATTCCTCCTCGTCTCAGTGAAAAGCCTTCTGCTTCTTCACTTCATTCTGCCTGTATTCATCAGAAATGGAGCATAACAATAAGACCGGAATGATATCTGACAATGTCCCATCACTCAATTGGAAAAACAAAACAAAACAAAAAAAACAAAAAACAAGTGAATTCACGTTTACACAGATATCGGCTCGATAGCAGACGGCATGAGGAAACCAACACGGACGACTTGTTCCTGTTTGCATTTGATGCTGGTCTGTGTGCGATCGCAGATCTGTAATACACGGCAGGATTAGAGGCTTATTGAGGCGACTTCAGGTTCAGGGATTTTCAGCATGACAAAGCTGGTTTGTTTGTCGCCATGGCAACTCGGGGCTGAAACCTAACCTGATTCACAGCAGTTCGTGTTTGCGGAGAGGTCTGGGAGGTCGAGGTACATCGAGATGCCAACCTCGGACCAATCGGTGCGGTTAGAAAACACCGCGTGGGCTGAGGGCGGACCGAAAAATGTAAAAGTTTCATTTTCTGATGTAGCAGAGAAAGAGCTGAAGTCGCAGGAGTTGTAAGGAGCACAGAAACGTGTGTCATATTCACTCCCCCACCTGCTGCTGATCAGCTGGCTCACCAAAGGCTGCTACAGCTACCTTGGCTGTAGGGAAATATTTACAGTTGTATACAGAGCAGGCAATTTCCAGTAAACTTCTTAGCGTCGAACTGGCACATCACATACATTACGGACAAACGTTAGCAATTATGTAAAATGTAAAACCTCAAAAAGAGTCCACGCCTCCAGCAAACAATCATTTCTCAACAGCGGAGAGCCCAGGCCCTCTGTATGAAGCAAAGTGTAGAACAAGGGGCTGGTTTCTAACCAGACTGTAATTGTTGTTTAATGCAGCAGAAACTGTCTTAGTATGGCATTTGGATTTTAGTCTCTTAGAGAAACTAAGTTGCTTCATAGCAGCAAGTACTATCCACAAACAACCGCTTAACTAAAACCATGTTGCTGAGAAAGATATCATTTATATTTTCACAGTAGCAGTGGTCTGTGTTAGCAGTGAACCCAAAGCAAAAAGAAACATCAAAACTGTTCAACTACTTATTATTATTTTTTAACGACAAGTCTTATCATCATTGCCACATTCTTCTACACTTTCACATTTTTTCCTGACCCACAACTAACTCAGGTTTTCCCTCATTCTTCTCTTTGCCTTCCACTGGCAGGACTTTAACGTCACACTTGGTGAACTTTAGCATCTGTAAATACAGAGTCGGCATACAGAGTTGCAGTGCACAACACCTATTATGAAATACATTGCATCACAGCAAACTTTTGTTGTTACAATGTAGCCCATATTGACATTTTCATGGTGAGTGCAATTTGATATACTGTTGCAAATTGCAGCTCAAAATAAGGATATATCGCACTCGGTTCTAAGCATCTGATTTTACAAAAACGTCAAGAGAATCTGCTGCTGGTGTTACTGAAAGCCCACTAAAAGAAGAGCCTACTGGTGAAGCAAGTAACTGAGATCTAGTCACTCAGAGATCTGGTCACTCAGAGATCTGGTCACTCAGAGATCTGGTCACTCAGAGATCTGGTCACTCAGGATGGATTTTAATGCCAGGTGTAAAAAGTCAGACTCAATCCCTCCATTTTTCGGTGATTTCTCTGCAAGTCTATTATTTTACACAGTTACTTGACGTTTGCTTCCCGTCAGGGAACATCCCTTTCCTTCTTTAATATGATTGGTTCCCTTGTTCCTCCTCTGACCATTTTGCATAATTATGCACATTTATAATAGCTAGAAAGATCCGAGTTCATTTCCCCATCTGAGAGCAGGCTTTTCAGACACCCCAAAACCCTACCTACAATGTTAAATGTTGAACCTTCTTCAAGATGCAGGCCTCTTGTGTTTTATTATTTAGCCTAACCAGGTCACTGCTACCAATCTGTCTTGCTTTTTGTTGCATTTGAAACTGAGCTGCAGATCATGTGAAACTTTAAACTTGCATCAGGGTTTTTAATCGAAACAAGAAGTTAGAGGCCTGGCGTCAGCAGCTTTAGCACTTCCTCTTCTGAACACAAACACAACAACTAGCATTCAGCCGTTTCTGGTGTAAAGCAGCAGGAATAAAGTTTAGCTGGAAGCTAAAAGTCTTTCGCTGCATCATAAGAGGAGTCAGAATATATCAGCTTAATGCAAATGGTGCCGGCTAAAGCGGCGTATCTGTTCCGATGGGGTTTGGCAGAGGAAGTTTTCTCTCTGACTCGTCGGCTCGATCAAAACAAAGTGTGAAAAGTGAATCTACCACAGACGGGGTAAACGGCAACTATTAGGCAACACCGTGACATGTTCCCGCTCCCCTGTGACCGGCCACTACGGCCAAAAACCAACATTTTATTAAGCTCAACTGTAAATACATGATATTCCTGCAGTGGTTCAAATACAGTCCCGACGCGTGTATGACAAGCACAATGAAAATAAAACAGGAAACAATGCAGTTCAGCATGTTTTTAAACCTACATTTCTAACTAATAATATTTGAGTTTGCACATTTTACACTCACCAAGGCCTAGTAGGTTCACAGGGGGCTCTGAAGACTTTGCAGGACTTATTTTGGGAGCTGGCCTGGACTCTTCACTCTGAGAGCAAAATATGTTTTAAAGCAAAACTTAAAAGGCAGCAAAAGCAGAAAACAACTCAAACGGCTCAGTTTATGTGTGCTCCAGACTCACCTTGGTGTAAGAAGACACCTTGTTCCCTCTGTCCGGCTCCTTCTCCTTCTTACCATCTTTCGGCTGACGACACAGACACAAAAAACACTGAACAACTGAAACCACTTTTATCTTCAGCCTTCTCTGATAAGACGCATAAATCGGGCTCAAGACAAACTGTCGCTAAGGCAACCATGCGACAATGCCCCCTAAGACGCCTTTCTATTTTGTCCTCCAGAGACTTGTGGAGTTTTTATTTTACCTCCTTCACCATCCTCCTCACTGTGGGAGGTCAAAGTTTAAGCAGTTTTAACCTTTTAATCATTACAGATGCGGGCAACTTTCTTGAATCAACCTCTTACTCCAAAGTGTTTTTCTCCACTTTTAGGAGTGACTATGTTGACTTCTGTGTCTATATAGTCAAATGTAAAATATCTGGGTCGCATATGCAGTTTGCTTCTCATCACACTGCATGTGGCTCTCTTTAGCCTCAACCCCCATAGTGCCAATATTAAAAGCATTTTTGCAGAGCATGAACCTAGCCTCTCATGGGTTGGCAACGGGAGAGAGCCAGTGGTGAAAATCAAAGAACAAATTTGAGCTCTAAGGGCTCAACACACAGGAAGCAACGTAGACAAGACACAAGAAAGTTGAAATATGTTCTAACTTTTTGTCTTGATTGTGTCCCATAGCTAGCTAGAAAGGGTATATTAGCAGCTAGCTATCGGCAGTCTCGACCACGGTGAGCCACAAAACGTAATGAAGATGTCGGCGCTCAACTCAAACTTTTGTTTGACAGAAAAGGCCCACGAGAAAAAAAAAGCTACATATGAGATAAAATAGTTGTGCCACAACAAAATTTAAGACCTGTGTTTATCGAATTTAAGGCCAACATGCATTATTTTAACGAATTTAAGACTTATTAAGCCTTAATTGTAGATATTAATTTTAGACTTTCTAAGGTTGTGCAGACAGTCTGCTCATAAAGTAAAACGTTTAAATGTACATTTGAAAAATTATTCAGTTGCACTCATTTTACAGGAATTGTTGGCGACCTCATCAATTGTGGGACCAACAATTTTGTTCAAAACAATTTCTTTAAAACTTCAGAATGAGATTATTCTGCTGCAAAAGAAGATCAACTTAATCTTAAGGCTTTTTATGCATCTTTACCAAAGATGCCAATGTTTGTGTAGGGGGGGCTTTATATGGATGCTTAATACATACACTGCTTCTAATGATTGCATTCTTGTTGTAGTATTTCTTCTTCTCGTATTTATCCCTGATGAAGAATTCAACTGCTCTGAGGGAAGCAGTTAAGGAGGAAACTGAGCAACAAAGATGCAGAACACAGACACCATAAGAGAGCATGGGAACGTTGGGCTTCTGTGTCAGCTGACAGCAAAAAGATACTGGTCTGTCTGAGGTCTTCTGAAGCTGTCTGGAAGGTTGGCTTCATAAAGCTGCCTGGCCTTGGTGTTACCCATTTCCTGTATGCTCTGGGGGGAAAAAAAGGGGGAAATAAAAAGGTGTAAAGTCAGCAATCAAATAAGACTCCAGATAAGCTCAGTGATATCAAATCAGAGTCATCAGAAGGACCTTTGAAGCAGAGTCTCTGCTGCTCCGCCATGCCTGAAAGTACAAGCAGCAGTTTTGCATCTAGTTTGTTTGGCAGAACTTTGTCGATGTTGGGCTTTTTTTTTTTTTTTTTCCTTTTTCTCCAACACGTCTATATTAAAAAACCTGAAGTTGG